AACGGAAGCATGTGGTGTAAGGACGCTAAGCATATATCGCTCTAGAAACTGAAAGTGAAAGTAACCTTTTTCCTTCTCTTTTGTCTTTTAAAATGTTTGCATTGCATTTATTTTTTAGTTATTTGAAAGGGAGAGAGACAGAGAGAGATCTTTCACCTGCTGATTCACTCCCCAGATGCTGGGGGCTGGACCAGGCCAAAGCTGGGAACCAGGAACTCTATCAGGTCTCCCATGTGGGTGGCAGGGACGCACCTACTGGAACCATCCTCTGCTGCCTCCCAGGGTGCACATCAGCAGGGAGCTGGATCAGAAGAAGTACAGGTTGGGGCTGGTGCTGTGGAGTAGTGGGTAAAGCCACCGCCTGTAGTGTCAGCTTCCCATATGGGCGCTGGTTCAAGACCCGGCTGCTTTACTTCTAATCCAGCTCTCTGCTGTGGCCTGGGAAAGCAGTAAAAGATGGCCCAAGTCCTTGGGCCCTTGCACCATGTGGGAAACCCGGAAGAAGCTCCTTACTCTTGGCTTCAGATTGGCCTAGCTCCGGCCATTGTGGCCAATTGGGGAGTGAACCCGCAGATGGAAGACCTCTCTCTGCCTCTCTCTCTCTCTCTCTTTCTCTAACTCTGACTTAAAAAAGAAGAGTAGGCACTTGGTTATGGAATGTGGTGAGAGGAAGACAGAGTGGGAGAGGGAGGGGGAGGGGAAATGAGAGAGGGAGAGGGGAGGAGAGGGAGGAGAGAGGGGAGGAGATGAGGAGAGGGTAAGAGATGGAGGACATGGTCGCTTCTGGTAATCTCCAGCCTGGAACACTGGGAGGGTGGCTGGTGGTTGGCAGCCCTGGACACAGATGCTGGTCACACATTTTGTGCAGGTTGGTTGGGGTTGATCTTGGGAGATGCACCTTCAAAGAACTGAAGAGGGCAGCATTGCGCAGAAGTGGCTGACACAGGGTGTGGGTCCAGCGGAAGCCTCAGTAGTTCTGGAATTGAGGCAATTCTTCAGACTGTCAAAACTAAGTCAAAAGCGCCAGGACTTCGAGTGTCCCTGCACCAGCCAATCCCTGGCCGCCGGAAATCCACTGGGAAAGCTCCAGACAACTTTTTTTTTTTTTTTAAGATTTATTTATTTGAAAGTCAGAGTTACAGAGAGAGAGAGAGAGAGGTCTTTCATCCACTGGGTCACTCCCCAGATGGCTGCAATGACCGGAGCTGCACTGATCCAAAGCCAGGAGCCAGGAACTTCTTCTGGGTCTCCCACGTGGATGCAAGCACTTGGGCCGTCTTCCACTGATCCAGCAGAGAGCTGGATCAGCCGGACCTCGAACCAGTGCCCATATGGGATGCTGGCACTGAAGGCAGAGACTTTGCTATGCCACAGCGCTGGCCCCCAGACATTTCTTTATGGACAAAGGTAATTTCCAGTGAGGGAAGCAGCTGTGTGGAGCAGCAGCTAACATTCCCAGGACTGGGGGTGGGCTCCCCACCCTGGCCGGGGGTCGGGGGAACACTGCCCTGTCCACCGCAGTTCCCCACTTGCACTGCTCTTGTTCTATTCAGATCCAAATCTAAAAAAAAAAAAAAAAAAAACCAAACAAACCTCATTTTTATTTGAAAGGCAAAGTTACAGAAAAAGAGAGCAAGAGAGACACACAGAGAGACTGCTCCATCTGCTGGTTCACTCCCCAAATAGCCGCGATGGCGGGGACTTGGCCAGGTGGAACCCAGAAGCCTGGAGTTTCCTCCATGCCTCCCACAGGGGTGCAGGAGCACAAGCACTTGGGCCATCCTCGGCTGCTTTCCCAGGCCACAGCAGAGAGCTGCATTGGAAGTGGAGCAGCCTCATGGGATGGCAGTGTTGCGTTAGCAGCTTAACCCACTGTGCCACAACGCTGGCCCTCAGATCTGGATTTCTTATGGTCAGTTTGCCTTGTTGGGAAAAGCTTCTACATGATTCTAGTTGGTTTTCTTTTTTTGGAGGGAACTTCAAGAGAAGGGTTAATAGGCAAGTCAGTAGCCTTTACTGCTATGATGGTTTTTTTTTTTTAAATTTAAAAAGCATTCCAAAAATTAAAAAAATTAAATAACAACAACAAAGAACACGTATTGTGTAACTGCTGAACTTCTCAAGATGGCCTGGATGGCGCACCAGCCGCCCCCTGCGGCTCGGGTGTTGCTCCTTTACAGAACACACGCCTGAACGTGCGGGGTGCAAGCCTCAGGAGCCTCCTCCGTCCAGTCTCACCACTGTGTTTCGGCTCTCAGCCTGCTGCTCCGCAGGGCTGCCATGTTTGCCAGTGGTCGCTTCCGGCTCCTGCAGAGGCAGCACAAACCGGTGAGTCTCACGGCGACGCTTTCCAGTCGGTGACGTTCCTTCGTCGTCTCCCTCCTGCGGTGGCGACCAAACAGAACCCTACAAGGGCTCTCAAGGTCTGGAAGAGTCTCATCACCCTCCGCTGTACCACCGATTATAGATTTTCCTTGCCTGTGGCCAGCACCCGGCCAGGGCCAGGCAGGCAGGAGCGGGACGACCCGCACCTTCTCCCACGAGTGCAGGCGTGCCTCCACGCCGTCCTTAGCCCGAGGTCTCTGCTGTGAACACAGCATGGGAACGCCAGGAGAACCCACCGGGAACGACCCGAATGCCAAGCGGTTCCTCCTGTGGCCCGGCGCAGCCAGCTGGGCGAGTCCTTTCCTTGCGGGCTTCGCTCTCGCTCAAGGAAAGACAGGGAGGTTCAACTGGGACGCTTGGCTGTGAGCCCCCAGGGGAAACAACCACAGCTCTGCTTTCCAGGATCTGGAGGCCCTCCAGATCGAATTCCCTGAGGTGTTCATTGTGTGTGAAGGTTGAATTTCTAGCCCAGAACCATGCCGTTAATTCTCAGCATCACGGGGTGGCCACTGACGGGGCTGGGCGCTTGCTCTGGAGCGCCCCCTAGGGTACTGTCTTAGAGCTGGCCCCTCGGCTGCCTCTTGTTTTGTTTTTTCCTCCAGAAGAATCTTACATGCATTTTTTTAAAAAAAATTTATTTGTTTATTTTTTTGAAAGGCAGAGTTACAGAGAGGCAGAGGCAAAGAGAGCTCTTCCATCCACTGCTGCACTCTCCAGATGGCCACAATGGCCAGGGCTGCACAGATCTGAAGCCAGGAGCTAGGAGCTTCTTCCAGGTCTTCCGGGTGCAGGGGCCTAAGCACTTGGGTCATCTTCTACTGCTTTCCCAGGCCACAGCAGAGAGCTGGATGGGAAGTGGAGCAGCTGGGACTCGAACCAGCACACATATGGGACACCAGCAGTGCAGGCTGGGGCTTTGCCACAGCGCTGGCCGCGGTTCTATCAAGTTGGTGGCCTTTGAGTGGAGCCGTGTAAGACTGGTGGGGCCCTGGCCATGTGCGGTTGCTGCAATGTCCCATCCCTTGCTGGAAAGAATGTAAGGGTGAGGACTGAATACTCCAGAAACCTATGGAGAGTGGTGCTAGCTGGGTGCTCCCAGGGCAGGAAAGGCAAGTCCTCAGTAGCCATGGGCTCCACATCCATGGGTTCAACCCACTGTGGACCCAAACATTCAAGAAAAAAGTTGCAGGGGCCGGCGCTGTAGCATAGCAGGAAAAGCCGCAGCCTGCAGCACTGCCATCCTATATTGCTGCCGGTTCGAGTCCCAGCTGCTCCACTTGTGATCCAGCGCTCTTCTATGGCCTGGGAAAGCAGTAGAAGATGGCCCAAGTCCTTGGGCCCCTGCACCTGCATGGGAGACCTGGAAGAAGCACCTGGCTCCTGACTTCGGATGGGTGCCAACTCTGACTTTCAAATAAATAAATAAATCTTTAAAAAAATGGGGGGCTGGTTTTGTGGCTTAGTGCGTAAAGCTGCTGTCTGCAGTGCCAGCATCCCATATGGATGCTGGTTCGAGTCCTGGCTGCTCCACTTCCAATCCAGCTCCCTGGCAAGGTACCTGGGAAAGCAGCAGAAGGTGGCTTGGGCCCCTGCACCTGTGTGGGAGATCCAGAAGAAACTCCTGGCTCCTGGCTTCACCTGGCCCAGCCCTGGCTGTTGGGGCCATTTGGGGAGGGAACCAGTGGATGGGTGCTTGCTATCTCTCTCTCCCTCCCTCTCTCTCTGTAACTCTTTCAAATAAGGAAATAAATCTTTTTAAAAATGTGTGTGTCGTCGGTTTGCACCTACTAGAACACGAACACAAGCTCTAGGAGGGCAGAGCCTATGTTTTGTTAATCACTGCTGTTCTCCTTTCCTTGCTGAATGACCCTGATTGCATGGAGGCTTGCAACAAGCAGTAGGATGTGGCCATGTGCACCATGGGGTAAAGGTGGTGCGCATCCAGAGAAGGGAAGGTGGGGCTGAGTGCGAGTGTGAAGTCCCCAGCTCAAGCCATGGCAGGAGACACGAAGACAGCATTCTCTCACCAAGACAAGACTGCATGAAGGAAGTGCAAGCATTTAATTGTGTGGGTTCCACTCCCACAGTCTGTGGTCTCCAGGCCAGTCTCTCTGGAAGTTTACTGAGCTCTCCAAGCCTCCAAATGCTTTGGAAAAAGGCTTCCCGTGGCAGACAAGAGGCTCTGTGGAATACCCAATGGACTGTGAGAAAACAGCATTTGAACTCACTCGGCCATTAATTGTGTGATCCTGGTGGGGGAGGGGGAGCGTAAGGCTCAGTATCCTTATCTTGAGACTGGGACTTCGAGAACTAATGTTATCTGAAGCAGGTACTTCCCTCCACCTGTGGCATGGGTGGATGCCAGCCCCTGGCCGGCAAGTGGACGAGGGACAGAAGACGTAGAGCAAACTCCAGGCTCTGGCTGCACACATAGCATGCCCACGTACGCCCGCCCTCCCCTGTAGCCCTTGCACGTGCACAAAAGGCTATGTTCTCCAGCCCACACACGTGTGTGGACATTAGCTGCAGTTCGGGAGCCGAGCTAATTGGTTTTAAAGTCTCTTTCTTATCTTTCCCCTGGTAGGCAGTAGCTGGGCAAGTAGCAGTGTGGCTCTGCAGACAGAGGGAGCAGTCGCTGCGACACGGCTGTCCCCACCATGGCCTTCAGTCAGCTCCAGGCAGAAGTCAGGGACCACCTGCGGATCCACAACCTCCTGGCCCGACAGTGCCTGGCAGAGTTCCTGGGTGTGTTTGTGCTCCTGGTATGCAGGGGCGTGGGGGGAGGTGGACAGAGGTTTCTGGATCCTGCTGGTCTCCTGCCAGCCTCTGTTTTCCATCTTTCACCCACTTCCCTGTCCTCTTCCTCCTCATCTCTCCCCCTTCCTCTCCTACTTCCTCTCCCTCTCTCTCTTTCATTCCAGTCCCTTCTCCTTTCTCACTTTCCTCCCCTTTCTCCTTCCTCTTCCACTTCTTCCATTTCTGTTTCCTTTCCTCTTTTGCTTGTCTCTGTTCCCGCCTCTTGGCTGTTCCCTGAGCCGTCCCCGTCTCCCTCTCCTGGGTCCCGTGTTCCTCCTCTCTCCTTTCCCCCACAGCTCATCACCCAGGGCAGCGTGGCCCAGGCTGTGACCAGTGAAGAAAGCAAAGGCAACTTCTTCACCATGTTCCTGGGGGGCGCTCTGGCCGTGACCGTCGCCATCTACGTGGGCGGCAACGTCTCAGGTGAGGAGGGTGGTGCGTGGTCATCGGGGAGGGCAGCGAGTGTACGTGAGCGTGGGAGTCTGGTGGCGGTGGTCACAAGGCACATCCCTTGGTGACTCACGGACATTATCTCCCTAAGCTTTGCCAGTGCCCTCCCTGGACTGAGATACGCCTTTGCCCTCACCCAGCCCCTCCCCTTTCTGTATCTCTCCAATCCCCTTCCTCACACTGATCCCAGGCTCGCTTGGGAGGAATCTAAGGCAGGGCATTGAAGTTAAGTGCTATCCTTGTGTGCCCCTGCAGCCCTCTGGGGCTCCTGTCTGCCCAGGACCTCACCTGCTCCTTCCCCATCACTCGGGGCATCAGCCTGTCTGGCTGGAGCCTGAGACCCGGCGTACTGCAGCGGGAAGGAGCAGACAGGCCCAGGCGCACTGTGCGACCCCGCTGAGTCACCTACACTCCTGCGCCTCAACCTCCGAAGCTCTACGATGGAAATAACATTGTGTGCCTTGAGTGTTGTGGGAAGCAGCAGCGGCATGGCAGCGCCACTTAATGGACGCTGGTTTTCTTTCTTGTTCCTTCAAGGGGCCCACCTGAATCCGGCCTTCTCCCTGTCCATGTGCCTCCTGGGACGCTTCCCCTGGGCCAAGCTCCCCATTTATATCTTTGTGCAGCTGCTGTCTGCTTTCTGTGCCTCGGGAGTTACCTACTCCGTCTACTACGGTAACAGAGGGGGCAGGGGCGGGGCACCTGTGTGTGGGCGGGGGTGCCTCGGGAGGGTTTGGGTGAGCAAAGGTGGAAGCCTGGCTGTTCGTCTTCCCTGAAGATGCCCTGCAGAACTATACAGGTGGGAACCTCACAGTGACTGGTCCCAGGGAGACGGCCTCCATCTTCACCACCTATCCTGCCTCTTATCTGTCCCTGAGCAACGGCTTCTGGGACCAGGTGGGTGTGAGGCAGAGACCTTTGGGATCCCAGGCTACTACCGTCTAGGGGAGACCTTTGTCCTGTCCCTTGGGACCCCAGCCTACTGTCCAGGCTCTGGGTGGGATGTGGGGTGACAGTTGTCTTGGCACCTGCCCCGCTCCCCCTCCTCCCACCCCCAGTCCCAGCTGCCTAGGTTGGATGAAGCCGGATGACATAGATCCCTTTACTTCCATCAACTCCAAGGTTCTGGGCACCAGCGTTCTGATTGTGGGGCTCTTGGCCATCCTGGACAGACGGAACAAGGGCGTGCCTGCCGGTCTCGAGCCAGTGGTAGTGGGGCTTCTGATCCTGAGCATTGGCTTATCCTTGGGTGCCAACTGTGGGTACCCACTCAACCCTGCACGGGACCTGGGCCCACGGCTCTTCACCTATGTGGCTGGCTGGGGCCCTGAAGTATTCAGGTGAGAGAAGCAGCTCCTGGTGCTGTGCTCCACTGCCCTCCCTCTGCTAATGGCTCTGGCCCTGGTGCCCAGCTCTCTCCTCTTAGCACAGTATCCCTTCTGCAAGCCCACACCCCTCTTTAGAGACCCCTTTCTGCCCTTTGCAACAGAATGCTAAGATCCAGAGGTTGTGTTCTTGGGCCCGTCATATTATCTTTCGGGGCACTAGTGACGTCATCAGCAAATTGCGTATAGTCAAGAACTCCCTATGGCGAGAGGCTGGACCAAGCCCTCCTGGGGTTCCCTCCCTAAGTGCTATGCTTTAGTGTTAAGAGATTCTCTTCCCGGTGTCCCTCCCCCAGAACTACCACTGCTAGTTGCTGTCCTTGGGGAGAGGGGCTAAGGGAGCCACCCCTTATATCTCCCTTTTGTCTTTTGCTGGCAGTGCTGGCAACGGCTGGTGGTGGGTGCCCGTGGTGGCCCCTATGGTGGGGGCCGTCCTCGGCACGGCTGTGTACCACTTGCTGGTGTCTCTGCACCACCCGGAGGACTCAGAGCCAGCCCAGGAGGCGAAGCCTGCCCTACAGACTCACTCGGTCCAGACGCTGGAGTGTAAGCTGTGACCATGACAGCCCTCGCCTACCTGGAAGGCCACTGGGGACAGCCACCCAACTTGCCTGCCAGCCACACGGCCACTCTTCTTTATGCCAGATTCTCTGTGTACCCATCCGGGCAGCCCTTCCTCCTCAACCGGGAAAGATGCCAGACACGGGCGGACTGCAGGCAGACGAGGGTCAGGAACTCACGCCCCTCACCCCTGGCCCCACGAAGGGTATTCTGACCCTCAGGGCCTCTAGGAACGCAGGAGCGCCCAGCAGCCGCCAGGGGGCGCGCGCCCGGGGTGCCAGCCTGGGGGACCCCACGGGGCGCCAGGGCCCGATCACCTAGCGCGGGCCCGAACCCTGGGCACTTCCCTCCAAAGCCTGGGCCCGACTGCACCTCCCAGCTCTCGGAACCTCGGCGCCGCCCGCCGTCACCCTCACGGGGGCGCCTCCCTTACGCTGGGCCGCCCGCAAAGGTAGCCGAGGGTGAGGCACTGCCTCCACCCAAGGGGCGTGGTGCGGGCCGAGCACAGCCCTCGAGCCCTCGAGCCCTCGGAGACGGGCAGAGAAACTGAGGCACAACTCGACAGCTGGACAATCGGGGCCGTGTCGTTCAGGGAGGGGGTGCAGTCCAGTGAGGCGATCCAGGGCGAGGAGAGAAGGCGAAGGGAGTGGGCGGTGGCCCCTAGGGGCGTGATTCCGGGAGCGAGGGGAAACCGGCGTGGAGGAAAAGCCTCGTCGTTCACCGCGTCCCCAGCCCTCACGCCCCCCCTCCCGGGAACGTGCTTTCCGCAGGGAAGGCGGCGTTCTCCCAGTCCCTTCCCTCCGAATTAAACAGAACACCTCGGCGCTACCTGGCCTCGAGAATCGTTTGTTTCAGCCGCGGGGAGGATGCGAGGGCTGGGTTCCCGGCCCTGGAGCTCCCCGCGGGCCGGTGAAGACCCTCCCCCTGCCCCGCACAAACATGGCGGCCGCCGCCTCCCCTCCTCTCGGCCCTCCCCGAAACCCCCTCCCGCCCCCCGCCCTCTGCTGCCACTTCCGTCACTTCCGCCCCGCCGTGGCCGAAACTGACACAAAGTAGCGGGCCGAGGCCCCGGGGGGAGCGGGGCCGCAGCTGGGGGGGGCGGGAGCCCGCGGGGAGCCGAGTCGAGCGCCCCCCGTCCCAGCCCCCGGCATGGGCAGGACGGGGCCGCCGGGGCGGGCGCCGAGCGCCGAGCGCTGAGGTGAGGCGAGGCGAGGGGAGGCGAGGCGGGGGCAGCCGGGGAGCGGGGCCGGGAGATGCGGCCGCGGGCCGGAGAGACCCTGGTATCGGGAGCTGCGGGGATCCGCGGCGGGCAGTGGGCGACGAAGGAAAGGGGGGTGTCTGGGGGAGCCGGGAGGCTGTGGGCAGGGTGGGCGGAGAGGGTGCCCGCGGGGCGCGTGGAGAGCCGAGGCGAGGTTTCTGCAGCAGGGACGGAGGGGTGGCCGCCTGGGGGATTGTGTGCGTGAGAGCGGGAGTCCGGGTCCCCGGGGGCCGGGAGCCCGCAGGAGGGAGCGTGGGGCAGGCAGGCGCTGTGCCAGAGGAAAACCAGGGGGGACCAGGAGCTTTGGCAGCTCCGCGCTGTGGAGTCTTGGGTTCTGCCCATGGCCGGCGAAGGTAGCCTGGGATGGTGTTGGTTGCTTGCGCCTTGGATTCCATGTCCTCCTGTATCCCTGACCGGCCAGCCTCCGCTGAAGGAAGAAGTCTTGGTTGGAAAGGAGAAGGGGCCAGACCTAGGGGAGGAGCTGCTGTCCTCCATGGAGCACTGCCTCTTCCCGGGACTGGCTATTTTTATCCTAGATGTGGCTGCAGAGGGGGCTGGGGCTGGGGCAGGATGGCCAGGCAGGGCGACGTGGCCGATGGGCTTGACTGGTTCAGAAAACCCAGGCTGGAGGAGACTGCGAAGGAGACAGAGGGGGTCCTGGTTGCCAGGTCTCCCCCTCCCTTTCCCTTCCTGTCACTGCCGCCCCCCCCGGGGGGGGGTGGAGGTCTGGGGCAAGCCTGCTCTCCTCTTCCCCCGGGGTCTTAGAGGTGAAACAACTTTCCTGGTCGGTGTCCAGACTCCAGACTCCTGCTGTCAGCTCTTTCCTCGAACTCAGACCCAGGCCTCCCAGGTCCGAGTGTGGCTTGGGGCCCCCCTCCCCCTGGTGGGATGGGGTGACTTGTGATGCCTACCCCTGCATCCTCTCCTTGAACTCCTCCCTCTGCACCCCACCCTCCCATGACTCAGACTGCAGACTGGGTGGAGACCCTGGCCGGGGGCCCTGGAGGAGAGCTTGGCATCTTTCAACAAAATGTGGGTGAGGGATTTTCTTCCTGAGCCTGACACCTTGCCGGCCGTCACCGGGGAAGGGCCACACTGGAAAGGACTTCTGGCTTTTCGGTGCTGCCTGCGCTGGGGAAAGGAGAACTGGTGTGGGTGACTGGGCCGTGGCCAGAGTCTGTAATTACAGAGGCTGGGCAGACAGGCAATTAGTATCTTGGGGCTGGCCGGCTGGTGGGGTGCGCCCTGTAGACTGGAGACAGAACCAAGGTGGGGGGGGGGGCAGAGACCGCCTTCCACTAAAAGAAAGGAGGTGACTGGCTGGCAGTTTCCTTTGGGCAGGGTTGAGGCTCTGTGACCCTGCCTTGTAGGCCAGGCCTTACAGCTCTTTAGAGGAAAGAGTACATAGGAAGGTGGAAGGGAGCAGAGCCTGCCTAAGTGATGCTGCCCCCGTGCGCACCCGGGCCATACTGCCTGGACTGGGCTTGAGGTGGGAGAGAGGAGGGGGACTCCCTGCCAGGGCTGGCCCAGAATGAGAGGAAGCCATTTGGGGACAGGCTGGCAGGAAGTGAAGGCTGCGCTCACAATGTGAGCTCCCTTGCCGGAGGTGAGAATGGAAGCCCCAGGGTGGGGGTGGGGGTGGGGGGATTGTAAGCATTTTGAGAAGGGAGGAGCCTGCCCACCCTGTTTCCTGATGTACTGCCAGGTGTTTCCTGGCTGATGTTCCCTCCACCCCACCCTTTGGGGGAAACTGTGCTTTCTAATAAGCACAGCCACAACTCTGCCACCAGGAGGGCACGTGAGAGCACCCGTCACCCCTGGGACGGATACCTTGAGCCCTGCTGACAACGGCTAGCCCCTTCTCTCTGCCCCCCACCCTAGCCTTGGCTTCTGCCTTATGGCATCTGAGGCAGAGGCATGAGGGAAGGTGGTGCCGTAGGCCCCTCTTCTCTCTTGGACCCATCAGGGCCTGGAAGAGGACAGGTGCTGGTCCGGGAGGGGCGGGGGCAGAGCTGGAGAGGGCTTTCGGAAGGAGCCTGCTGCAGGGAATGGAGGGTTACCTTCAGCTTCTTGACCTCTCGCATCTGTCACCTTCCTGCAGGGTCTCCCATGGGACTGCTGGGACCTTGCTGGGTGAGATGGCACTGTGTGCAAAAAAGCGCCCCCCAGGTAAGACAGGCAAGGAAGGGAATCCCCGAGACCATCAGAAGTGGGTGTTGGTCAATGTGGCTCAGGGAAAGGAAAGAGGGACCAGTGGTAAGGGTCCGAAGACAGAGACATTGAAACCCATCTTGGGGGAGCCTAGGAAACGGAATTCTTAAACTGGATCCCTGACCTGGGATCTCACCCCAGCCCCCCCACCCGGAAATACCTATACTTCTATCTCGGGGCACCTGCAGCTCCCACTTCCTGACCTGGGGAGCTGTGTGCTTGGCTCCCCTCCATCCTCTCGCTTCCCCGGTCCCCTCTGGTCCTCCTGGTTTTCCTGCGGGCGGGGTCGAAGGGAGGACAGCGGTCGTCCCGGACTACGCTAGCAGCTCGCTCGCCCGCAGTGGCCGGGCTGGAGGGGGCTGGGGGAGGGGGAGGCGGGGCTCGCGCGCTGCCTTTCGCCTACGCGGCGCGCTGGCGGGCGGCTGCCCTGCAGCCCGGGAGCGGGCGGGGGCGGAGCCTGGGGCGTGCGCACCGCGGCGCGGCCACTCAGCGCGCGCTGGCCTCCGCGGGGGGCGTGGGGGCGGCATCCGCGGCGGCGGCCGCGGCGCGGCTCTGCTCTCGGCGTCCCCCAGCGCGGGCGGCCGAGACGATGGCCTGGACTGCGTGTGGCGCGCGTGCCCGATGGCCGGGGCTCCCCTCTGAGCGGCCACAGCTCCTGCGCCTCCCCGGGGGCCCACCCCGTCGGCACCGCTGAGGCCGAGGACAGACAGACATTCTGCCCTCCCCCGCTTCAAGCCGGGATCATGACGGTCCCCAAGGAGATTCCCGAGAAGTGGGCCCGGGCGGGGGCGCCTCCCTCTTGGAGCCGAAAGAAGCCCTCCTGGGGGACAGGTAACGGGAGGCAGTGCCTAGCAGCTCCCTTGCGGCCGGGATTCCCCCCTTCAATTCCGTAGCCTCCCCTAACCTTCCCCAATGCTCTTTCCAGACCCGGAGAGCCTGGCTGTGAAGGCTCCAGCCCCTGCCTGCTTTCTTTGCATGATGTTTGGTGATTGCGCAGGGTCTCAGCCCGAAGGGCCCCCTCTCGGGAAGTTTCTGACAGTGAAGTGGCTTGGCTGGCAGGGACAGCGCTGTGCCCTGGTGTTATGTTACTGCAGTGTGCTCTGCAGGGGTCTTGGGAGGCCCCAGGAAGGGCCTGGGAGTGCTGCCCTTTGCCTCCGGGACGGGTGGAAGACATGTTTAGTGCCTAACCAAGTTACTGCCTGAGGTAGAGGTGACCCCGGGGGTGGGGGGGTGGCGGGTGGGCTGGGGAGCCCTTCATAGGAGCACACTTTGTTCTGAGACCTGAACTTGGCACCTGCCTTCCAGGGCCTGTGTGGGTTTCAGGATAGATGAAGTGAAATAGATGTTACTGAGTGACAGATGAGCTGTTTAGGAGAAATGTGTGCAGATGGTACAAAAAGGTGATTGAGAGCCAGCGTTTCTAATACATTTCATTCTTCCCTCCTCCATCTCTGTCTCCGTCTGCATGACCCATGTCCCTGACCCCCCCCCCCCCATCTCTTACTTGAAGATGAGCTTTGAAATAAGGTGATGTCATTGTGGGCCAGTCAGAAGCTGCTGCTGGCACCATGTGACAGGCAGAGGCTCCGGTAGGGGCACTGCACGTGGAGCTGAGATGCTGCCGCAGAGCAGCTCCGGGGCACAGTGACCCTCCAACTCGCCACCCACCTCACCCCCCAGGATGGAGGAGGGCTGTGCCTGCGCCTGGGTCTGCAGTGACCCCTGGGTGGGCCGGCGGAAGCTTTGTCTTTGGCTGTCCCTCCCTGGTTGTGAGGAAAAATGCATTGATAGCAGCAACAGAAGGGTACAGGGATTCCCCCAGCTGGGGCTCCTCCTGGGCGGTGGGGGAGAGGAACCGAGTGCACCCAGTGGGGACCTTGACAGCTGGCCGTGAGGGCAGAGAACTCTGAGGGTAGCCTGCAGCGCCCTGTGGCCAGGCTGTGGTGAGAGGTGGACTAGAGAGGAGAATTTGATGCCACCTCCGGTGTGGCGTGCACTCCTTAACACCGTATTTATTCTATGGAAAGAACCAGGGGCCCTTGGTGGAACCCCCACAGAGTGGGTGTGGGCCTGACCAGGTGTGGGTCCAGGCCTCGGTTGGCTCCTCCTGATGGCAGCATCGTTCTGTTGCAGAAGAAGAAAGGAGGGCGCGGGCTAATGACCGAGAATACAATGAGAAATTCCAGTATGCGGTGAGTGACTCCAGACCACTCCTCGGCTCCCCAGCCCGGGCGGAAGGCACGGGACATCCGAGGTCGGGGTGGAAGGCTGACTGCGGGAGGGGCGGCGGCTTCCCTGGCTGCTCTCCATCTGCTGTGCTGCTTTTTTTTCCTGCCACCACCTATCCATCAGTGAAGCAGGAGATGCTGACCCCGTGACCCTCCCTTCCCGCTCCTGTTTCTGCCTCCCAACTTAGGTTGCTGACTTTGGGGGAAGCATCAAACT